CCCTGGGTTCATTTCCACTGAGCGAAGCATGGCGTTGGGGAGGCGCTTGGCATACAAAGCCCCAGGCGCCGGCGAAGCGTGCGCGACTGGAGGGTCCCGGAAGCGAGCGCGAGTGGCAAGCGCCGGTGGACCTAACGGGCACGGAGCAAAGGACCCCGCCCGAAGTGGTGCCGGAACCTGTGCCAGGAGCGGTCGCCATTGTTTGTGGTACGTGGAGTGGTCGGTGGCTGGGTGGATATTGGATGACCGACTGGGTGTGTGGTTTGATGTTGTGAAGGGGTAAGCAAGGCCAAGCATGGTATTTGCGGGGTGTGGACTGCATTTGGCGTGAGGAGCGGAACGCCTGTGGGATGGCGTGGATGATCCGGCGGCATTTTCTTACGAGTTCGCCGGCTTTCGGCGAAAATTGCTGAACCGAATCTATTTTGCGGACGAGGCCGTTCGTGAGTCAGACGTCTGGGGTAGAAGGGCAACCTTCAGCCCGCAAACAGCAATCCCATGCCCTGCGTGTATAATGTGGGGCACTGATAAAAGGGACCCCCCCCCAAAAAACAAAACAGTGACCCCCCAAAAAAAAGGAAGAAGAAGAGGAAATCGCTAAAGACTGCTAAAACTTCTTTGGGGTCAGAGGTAGCCCCAAGTAGTCTCTATCTGAGTGCTTGTATGGCTTAAGTGTTGGTATTGCCTGCTGCCTGGGGCTGCCATAGTCCTGGTTTATGGTTTTGGAATTGGTTTAGATTAGTATTGGTTTTAGTATTGCTTAGCGCTGCCTTACTTAGTACCGGTTCCTCCTCAGCCCTCTCTGAGTATAGTTCAGCATTTGCTTAGTGCCGCAAAAACATGCTTTGGTTTATAGTGCTTAATTACTGCCGCCTTAGTATTAGTACTGTTTAGTAAGTTTTAGTAATTATCGGTTTAGTATTTCGGCATCTGCCGGGGAAGTTTCGTCGGCTGGGCTCCTTTCAGGGGGCCTGGGCTGTTGGAACATGAAGTAATTGGTAGAGTATTGGCTTAGTATTGCTTCGTGCTGCCTTATTACTGGTTTCATAGTGGTTTGGTCTATGTCTATAGTATGGGTTTAGTGTCTGCCTGGAAAGTTAGACATATTTCCCAAGAATCTGCTCTGCGCCCACCTTGTTGACCATTATTCAATTTCTACCGCTTCAAAAGCCAAAAGCCAGGCACAAGTCCGCGGACCCCAACTGCAAATTCTTTATCAAAGTCTTCTTGAACAGTGCCCGGCCAACAATTTTCCAAGAAGGGAATACAGATGCGGCCCAAATGCTCAAGCAAAAAATCAACAAGAGCAAGTACTCAATTGAGGCGACTTTATGTCTTTTCTGGGGAACGAGTTTCTTGTGTTGAGTATCTGTTTTCTTCTCCTGAGGAACGGGGTCATTCTGAACAACTCTATCTTCCTTGAACTTCATACCCTTAGATTGGTCGGTGGCCAACAGTAAGTTGCTCCTTTTCAAGCCGTTTCACACGTTTGCAGAGCTTCGTGTGTGTGTGTGTGTGTGTGTGTGTGTGTGTGTGTGTGTGTGTGTCTGTGTCTGTGTCTGTGTCTGTGTCTGTGTCTGTGTCTGTGTCTGTGTCTGTGTCTGTGTCTGTGTCAGTGTCTGTGTCTGTGTCTGTGTCTGTGTCTGTGTCTGTGTCTGTGTCTGTGTCTGTGTCTGTGTCTGTGTCTGTGTCTGTGTCTGTGTCTGTGTCTGTGTCTGTGTCTGTGTCTGTGTCTGTGTCTGTGTCTGTGTCTGTGTCTGTGTCTGTGTCTGTGTCTGTGTCTGTCTGTGTCTGTGTCTGTGTCTGTGTCTGTGTCTGTGTCTGTGTCTGTGTCTGTGTCTGTGTCTGTGTCTGTGTCTGTGTCTGTGTCTGTGTCTGTGTCTGTGTCTGTGTCTGTGTCTGTGTCTGTGTCTGTGTCTGTGTCTGTGTCTGTGTCTGTGTCTGTGTCTGTGTCTGTGTCTGTGTCTGTGTCTGTGTCTGTGTCTGTGTCTGTGTCTGTGTCTGTGTCTGTGTCTGTGTCTGTGTCTGTGTCTGTGTCTGTGTCTGTGTCTGTGTCTGTGTCTGTGTCTGTGTCTGTGTCTGTGTCTGTGTCTGTGTCTGTGTCTGTGTCTGTGTCTGTGTCTGTGTCTGTGTCTGTGTCTGTGTCTGTGTCTGTGTCTGTGTCTGTGTCTGTGTCTGTGTCTGTGTCTGTGTCTGTGTCTGTGTCTGTGTCTGTGTCTGTGTCTGTGTCTGTGTCTGTGTCTGTGTCTGTGTCTGTGTCTGTGTCTGTGTCTGTGTCTGTGTCTGTGTCTGTGTCTGTGTGTGTGTGTGTGTGTTTCAGCCTTTGTCTTTTTGCCTAGCCTTGCACGTGCCCAGCGCCCCCCCTTTTGCCCTCTCTGCGTTGCATTGTGCGCGCGGGTCTCGTCCCTGGGCCAGGGCACCTGGGTGAACGGGCGCCGCACGTTTTGGGACGAGTCGCGGTCCGTCTTCATGTACTGGCAGAGCCAGAACAAGCGCTGGGCCATGAGCCAGCGCTGGCAGCATGAGGCCGATTTGCTCCTGAAGGTGGGCATGGATGCTTTTGCGGAGGGTGTGACTTCCATTTGGCTGAATGGAAGACTTCTGCTTTTGATGTTCCCTTTTTCGGTTTTCAAGGGGGATCGATTTCTTTACTGGACATAGTTTCATTTTTTCCGGGGAGACAAAACGCAACTGGAAGATGAGCAACTGGTTACGAGCTTCCAATGATGCAAGGTAACAGATACTGTTTGCGATGCAAGGTGGGCAAGTCGGCGCTAGCCATGTCCAGGTAAGCGATTTGCGAAGCTCAGGTGCGCGATGGACAAAATGTGGGCTGGGCATTCTTCCACAAACCTGGGGTGTGGGCAGAGTACTCCGGCGGTGACTGGTGCAAAGTCAACGCAGCTTGACTGCTATGAGCCACGCCCATCCCAGCAGTATGTCCCAGTCTACACTCTGCCACTACGCATGTCTTGCGTTTGATCCATGCATTGCCGTTGGCAATCATTATAGTGCGCGTCAGGTAATTACAGTCATCAACAGCAAGGGCTCCGAGCAATCGACGCCCAAACTGGCAGAGCCCATTGCGGTGCCACTGGTGAGCTTGCCCTTGCCAAGCCTTCGCCTGGCTGCGGCGCCGGCGCCGGTGCCACCGCCGTTCGAGGCCTGGGCGGTGAGAACAGAAGGAGAGAGAGACAGAGGCAGAGACATACAAAGGCGCAGACGAAGACACGTAGACAGACAGAGACAGACAGAGACAGAGACAGAGACAGAGACAGACAGTGGGTTGCGCCTGTAGCAGTTGATCGTGAGTGAAACAGATGCAGAAGTGCTGGTGTTTTGCCAGGCTTCATTCGGAACAATGACCAGCCATGCAGATTTGACTTCGGGGCAGGACACTCCTCCAATTGTGATGGCCTTGCCGGTCGAACCATGCCGCTTTGCCACAGTTGGCTGAGGTTTGCTGGACGTTCGTGTGAATGGTGCATTTCCCAACGGGTCATGTGGCGAGTTTGGCAACCCGAGATGTGCGAAGCGTGCTTTGAGGCGAGGAGTACCATGATGCCTTTGATCTTCGGACGCCTTGATGTGGGAGGAGCTTTGCCGGCCATGGGCCAAACGCCCAGTGCAATTTTAAAGCGAAGTAGCTTCGAGCCCGGTGCACCTAAAGTCTTCGAAGCCTGGTGCCTGGCTGTGGCCATTGCAGGGCTCAGAAGGCCCGGGGAGACTCTGGCAGTTGGCCCTGCGAGGGTGCAGCTGTTAGGGGGTCGTGGTTGGCACCAGATTAGGCGTCGGGCGTCTCCCATGGCGCCAAGTTTAACCCGGATTTCTGAAATCCTGTGACCGCCCTCGGGGATTCATGGGCGTCCTGCCGCCCTGCAACCAAGTTGCAGCCAGCAGTCACCGAGCAACGGATTCGGGGAGAAATGGCGTGAACACGCGCTGCGGAAGGGTGTGATGGATGTTTCCAGGGTGATTTATGCCAACAGCGCGGCAACATTCCAAGGAGATAGTTGTGTTGTCACGTGCTACATGACCACCCCCCCCATTTGGGAGTTTTTTGGCCACCAGGAAGCGACGCCGCTTGGCAACCGAACTGCAAAAAAACCAACAAAAATCAAAACAACACGCCTGAGGGCCTGAGGCTGTCTAGGGCGGAAGCCCCATGCGCATGGCACTTGCAGCGAGTCTGGGGACGCTGGCAGTTTCTAGAAGTTGCTGTGGGTCAAGAGTAGGGTAACAGCCAAATGGAACTCTGGTAAATGGAAACATGGACCAAACTTGCGGTCCCATAGTGGTTCTATTTTGACCCCATACCCAAATCCCTTCCGAGCACGGTCAGCAGCTTTGCATCCATCAGGTGCCCGTGGCTGGCGCTGCTGGCAAAACCCCCAGAGAGGGCGAGACTGTCCCTCTTTGGCTCCGGAGCTTTTGTCCAAACTCCAAACATTTTGTGCATGTGATTCAGGGGTCCCGTTTGCCTGCACAGCCTCACTCAAACTTGGGAAGCTGGGGATGGTTGAACACGACGACCTATGAGGTAGTCAGGTCGGCGGGCAAGGATGACCGCACAACTTCCGTGGCAAACGGCCAACCCTACCTTTGCGCCATGCTGCTGCTTGCAGTGGGCTTTACATATCCCAGCCACCGCCAGCTTTGGACATGGTTGGTTTCGAGCTCGCTTAAGCCAGAGCACAACAGCGTTTGCGTTCATTGTGGTGACGTGATATGCTGGGCTGTTCAAAGGTAATCCTTAATCCTTATCTTGGGTTGCGCAAGGGAGAAATCGCGTGGCTTGTCTGCTGCCCGGCTGCACGGAGACCCACTCCCTCTTACCACGGCTAAGGTGGTGCAGCTTCTGATCCTGGCCGCCTATGCGCAAGGGTTTCTGCCCGGCACCCACTTGGGGGTTGATCAATATTCCCAAATGGCCACGACCTTTGAGAGAGGAAACAGCACATGACCATGGCCCCCATGGTCATCCTATGTTTACTAGACTTTTTGATGAACCCCCCACTTGATCGAGGCGGCGTGCCTTTCGGCTGGACTCGGGCCATGTTTGCTCGGAGGCCAATCTCTGGACCTGAGGTACCATGGCTTCATCATGGACGACACCGTGGGCATCGTCAGGAATCCGAACGTGCCGCCGCCCTGGTTGCCAAGAGCGGAGCCAGACCAATACATCGAATGTTTGAGCCGGGTGTCCAAGTCAGTGATAGGACCGGGGGTAGGGGGGGCCGGGGGCCTGCAAAAGCGGTCATTTCCCTTCAACTGCAGTCTCAAATTCTGGGCTGACTGCTTTCTGATAGGATGCTGAGTCCATTTTTGGAGCCGGCCTTTACCTCCCGAAACTCAGCCAAGTTCCCTCCCTCCCTCCCCTCCCTCCCTCCCTCCCTCCCTCCCTCCCTCCCCTCCCTCCCCACCTCCCTCCCTCCCTCCCTCCCTCCTCTCCCTCCCTCCCTCCCTCCCTCACTCCCTCCTCACCCTCCCTCCCTGCCCTCCCTCCCTCCCTCCCGCCCTCCCCTCCCTTGTAGGATAAATACTATATACATTCCAACCATAATTTCCCAGGGATCCTCTTTCTAGAAAAACCTCCCGCAAACACAGGGAAAACGTCTGGTTTTGAAAGAACGAGGGTTGAAAAGAATGGAAAAAGGAATCGAAACCTAGAGCCTGCTTCCCTCACTCCCTCCCCTCCCCTCCCTCCCGCCCTCCCCTCCCCTCCCCTCACCCGCCCCTCCCCTCGCCCTCCTCCCTCCGCCCCGCCCCTCCCTCCCCCCCTCCCGCCCTCCCTCCCTCCCGCGCCGCCCGCCCCTCCCTCCTCCTCCCTCCTCCCTCCCCTCCCTCCTCCCTCCTCCCTCCCTCCCTCCCTCCCTCCCTCCCTCCCTCCCTCCCTCCCTCCCTCCCTCCCTCCTTTCCTCCCTCCCTCCCTCCCTCCCTCCCTCCCTCCCTCCCTCCCTCCCTCCCTCCCTACGTCTGCTCTGCCAGGTGGTTGCGGAGAGCCTCTCCTTTGCCGAGCTGATGCGCCGGGACTTCTGGGGACTTCCCATGCACGGGCAGGGCCCCGAGTTTTTACTTGCGATCGGTGCAAAATCGGTAGGGAATGAGACAGAAACCACCAGGTGGATGGATTTGCTTGGGGTCATGCCGATTCTCATTCCCTGCTGAGAACCAGCAAGTTTAGTCTACTCTGTGGCCATGCTGGCTGTGCCGCCCCACTTACTCAGCACAAACACAGAGACACCATGACTTGCATGATGTAGGCTAACGGGGGCCTAGCATTTGATTGTGCGTGTCGCGCAGATTGGACGCCCAGGGCCGTGCACATTCAATCAATTCAATCAACCCCACCATGAACAAATGTTAATACACAAGATCAAGAACATACCCTCACACATTCGCATGAATCCCGCCACGCCAAAATGTCAGTGAACACGATCAAGGCCATATGCGTCTCTACAAATGACCGGCCATGGCAGAATGTCAAGCACTTTTAAGTCCCTGTCAACTTTATGTCCCTGTCAACGAATGACCGCGTCCGACATGCGAGGTTCGGCATGGAAAGGTTGAAAGGCCTAAGTGGCATGCCTGGGCCCGAGGTCAGGATGGACCAACAAGTCTTTTCGGCCGTTGACCACACTGACCTTCCGCCACCGCCTCAGTTCCGAGACACGTGCTTTCCGCTCTGCGGCGAGCACTGCATGTTTGTATGTGTGATATAGCTGTGAACTCTGTACAAGTACACATGCTGTTTGATGCGTTTGCATGCTTACATACATTCACATACATACACACGTACACGCATATATATATATATATATGTGTGTGTGTGTGTGTAAATGTGTATATATATAGCGCATACCTACCTACCTGCCTGCCTGCCTGCCTGCCTGCCTGCCTGCCTGCCTGCCTGCATGCATGCATGCATGCATGCATGCATGCATACATACATACATACATACATACACACATACACCATACGCACATACATACATGCGTGCGTGCATGCATGCATGCATGCATGCATGCATACATACGTACATACATACGTGCACACACACACACATACATACATACATGCATGCATGCATGCATGCATGCATACATACGTACATACATACGTGCACACACACCCACACACACTCACATACATACATACATACATACATACATACATACATACATACATACATGCATGCATGCATGCATGCATGCATGCATGCATGCATGCATGCATACATACATACATACATACATACACACACACACATATATATATATATATATATACACATATCTGTATATGTTTGGGGTTGGGTTTGAAAGGTTCGTGCTTGCTTCAGGATTCGCCACGCTGAAAGTGACAGAAGAAAGGATCAATGCCTGGTTGAGGGGAGGTGGCGGGCTGGTGCACACCACGAAGGCTGGAAGAGGGAGCCCAAGCAGGTCACATCTGCTCCGCATGTGGTTTCAAGCTGGCAAGGGTCAACGGTCATTTTG